AATATATATAAGTAGATAAGTATATAGATATAGATTAGATTAGCCTAATTGCAGCATTATTTGTCGTTGGACTTTTCCTCTTCGGGCTCCGATTCCGAGGACCATATCGATTCGATAGGCTCCGGCGAATCGGGTTTGTCCGCTTCGGCCGGCTCAGCCGAATCCACTGCGGCAGCATTGTCTTTACTGTTAGACAGCAGCACATCGCTAAAGATGATGTCCAGGAGCAAATAGCCAATTTGCTGGGCAGGAAAGTCAATGAGGAAGGCGACGGCCAGAGCGAAGCACACAATGCAGAGCAGCTCCGGAAGGCTCAGCTGCAACGATATACATATGTATATATGTAAATCTATGTATTATATATGGTAGAGTATTCACTCACCAGATCGGAGACTTGAAATTGCTGCGGCTCCTTCACGCTGGCCGTGTTCCACAGCACCACCGTATAGGTGGCCAGCTGCAGTGGAATTTGGATTCTGGAGAGGATGAGCACGGGGCGCGCAATGTTTGGATGGCGTTCCAGCATGCTCCTGTCCAGCGGCGCCATCAGCAGGGCCCAGCATACGCCCAGGCCGAGGATGAGCGGACTCCAAGCCAAATAGGCAGCCGCCTCCGTCGATCTGTAGACGTATTTGCTGCGCATGCCCGCCGCAGCGGCCCAGAAACACCAGCCAATGCCCAGCATGGCCAGGGTCCAGCCGACGCGCCTGTAGCGTGTTCCGATGCCAAACGAACCGGACTCGCTGCGGAACAGCAGCCCGGCGCCGATGCCCAGCAGATAGGCCGTGGCACGTGCCACCGGCGAGCCGTATATGAGATTTCCCGTGCGATAGAACTTGCTAATGCTGCCGGCAGACGACAGAGATGAGATGATTACAATTCTCTCTAGGATTTACGTCTTCATTCACGACTTACCCAATGCCATGGAAGAGCGAGGGAGCCAAATAGTCCCGCTGGGTGCGGGCGTAGCGCGCGGCCACGGACACGGCATGGAAGGCACCGCAGAGAAAGAAGCCCGCCTCCGGATCCGTGAAGTACAGCCAGACGACCAGAGCGCCCAGCAGATAGAGCTGCACCTCCAGCGACATTTGGATCGTGATGGGCGAGCACTGCAAGTGAAGGGATTAGAGCACCATAGGACCAAGTCCGCATGAGGTTCCATTACCATTTCCTCCACATCGCCCGTGTTCTGCAGGCTGAGCGCATTGCGCCACAGGCTCTGCTCGCAGAGGCGCGCATTCTCGCCGACGAGCAGGCTCCARAGCGGGCCGCTGCCCAGGTGCGGCAGCACCCACGCCTGGAAGCCCAGCACGGCCAAAATGCTGGGCACATAGCGGCACGCCTTGGCGCTGACATTGCGCAGGAAGCTGAGCCGGCACGTCTGCTCCATCTCGTGGGAGAGCTGATAGGCGACCAGGAAGCCGCTGAGCAGCAGCAGCAGGTCGCCATGGAGCARGGGAATGCGATAGGCCAGGCTCCAGTAGCCATTGACGGCCTCCACGAAGGCATCCCGATTCGTGATGGGCAAGTGGCCGGCCATCATGAACTTCAGGTTCACGTAGATCAGCAGCACGGCCAGCAGCCGGAGCAGATGAATGAGGGGAAACTCCACGTCCGGATGGTCGAGCGACGCCAGCTTCTCGAACGTGAGCCGAGGCGAGAAGGCGCTCAAGAGTCTCACATGAAGTGCCGGGGTCAGTTGCTCCGGCTGCGTTTGTTCTGTCTCTGTCTCCGTCTCCTGCTCCTCTGTTGGCTTCTCCTCTGTCTCCTCCGCCTGCTCTGACTCCACTTCCTCCACTCGGTTCGCCTCCGCCCCGGCCTCTGCCTTGTCCTCTACTGTGCCATTGCCGCTGTGCAGCCGCAGCTTGGCGCTAATCCAATCCCAGTGCTCCCAGATGAGCGCCAGCAGGCAGGTGCAGCCGAGGGCGCCAATGCCTAATCTATATGAAGTAATGTGATCTGAAGTGTGTGCTTAGTGGAAATTCCGGCCTACTCACATGCCCGTTGCCAGGTAACTGTCCTTGGCCATCAGCTTGGCGAAGCTCTTGCGCTGCCGCGTGCTGCAGTGCTCGTCCCTCGCATCGATGTGGAACTCGATGCCCGTGTCGTTATAGGGACGCAAGCTGGCCTCGATGATGCCCTGCACCACGTGGGCGGAGCAGCCGTGCGGCAGGCAGATGCCCCAGTTGGCGATGTTGTAGCGCGGCGCAAAGTGCTTCGGCTGCGGGGGAAGGGCCAGAGCAAATGTCAATGACTCCAATGGAAACTCGAGAGATATGCTATAGCTACGTACGTTCTTCAAATGGCCATGCCACAGGCCGCGTCCGTGCAGCAGATGCAGCGCCTCCTTCAGGCTGCTCGCCGTCGAACGCATCTCGATCTGGGCCAGGCAGTATTTGCCGTGCACGCGGATCGGCTGCCTCGACGAGCTCTTCACGGCGGTGGACACTCTGGTGCATTGATCGAAGTCTCCAAACTGATTGATGTTGCCTCGCAGCAGTCCGGCGCCTATTTTGCCCGTGGCATCCAGCACTGCGAAAGAGTGAGAGGGCGAATAAGGGAGTGGTGAGAGAGAGAGAGCGATGCACTTACTCTGCAGTGTCCAGAGCTTGTGGGCGCGCAGCTGGTGATGCAGCAGCTCCAGCTGCTGATGGCACTCGCCGCTTCGCGCCTGCGACACGTTGCCTATGAAGGCGGGCAGCGAGTGGATGAGCAGCTCCAGGTACTCCTCTTGGCTCTTCGATTGCTGCCCCTGCTGCTGTTGCTGCTGGTGCGACAGCTCGCCTCGGGCATCCGGGGCGCTGCGGCTGCGCTCACGCTGGCGCGTCTCGCTGCGCGGCGGCTCCGGGAAGATGCTGTTGAAGGGCCAACGCTTCAAATAGGTGAACCAGTCGATGTCGCTCTTCTCGGCCTTCCTTCTCTCCTTCTTCCCCCTTTGTGGCTCATCGGCGGCAGCATCGCCGCTCGAGTCCGTCAGCCAGTGCAGCCAGCTGAGCATGTTCGGATACTGCGATTCCTCTTTCGCCTTCCCCTTCTCTTTGGGCTGCTCTTCGTTGTCGCTCATGAATCTGTCCCAGAGGCGAGTGAGCAGCGATGGTGCATCATTATCATTGTCATCGGCCTTGCTCTCAATGGATGATCTGTCCGCTCTTTTGCGCTGCCTTTTGCCACGCCTAGACTGCCCCTTATCATCATTCTTATCAGCTTCATCATCATTGTCATTGTCATTGTCATTATCTGCAGCTTCATCTTCATCATCATCGTCATTCTCATTGTCGTTCTCGTTCTCATTATCATTATCATTATCATTATCATTATCATTATCATCATCGTTATCATCATTCTCATTATCTTCATCATCGTCATCAGCATTCCCAGCAGCATCGTCATCGTCATCGTCATCGTCATCACCATCATCATCCTCATCCTCATTCTCATCATCATCATCCATTCGCTGTATCTTATGGAATTTGAACTTGGCCCGCCTCGGCGTCGCCCTACGACCCGTGCCCAGCGCCTCGCTCGCCTGGGCACAGGCAGCCGCATCATCCGAGCCCTTGCACAGGTCACGGCTCATCTCTTGGGTGCCCAGCGGCAACAAGATGCTGATGAGCAGCACTGCCAGCCAAAAGACCTGATTCTGGCCGCGCACCATCTTGATGATGATTAATATAGATTACTCAGAAATATATACATATACATATGCATAAATTATATGGATGATTTGATAATCCTGCCGAGATCGAGATTCGTTTTCGTTTCGTATTTCCTTCTGGTTTCTTCAATTGCAGTTGCAGTTTCCTATGGCTTTCAAATAGTTTACACAACCTTTTCGCACAGACTAATTGTGCCCATCGAATATGCGCCCAGATGAAAATAATTTTGATGCATATGCATATGCAGTGAGGAGCATGCTTTCAGCCCAGAGTCGGACGAGTGGCAGCACTAGCTCTGGGCCTCGATGCTATTAATAAATGCCAGAAAGCAGCAACAAGCAGCAGCAAAAAA